GTGAAAACTTACACATGAAATGTTATTCCTTCCTTGTATCTTCTACCGTTAGATGCATTGTTACATTCACGTACAAAACAAAAGAGATGAAAATCCTGTAAAAATTTAACACCAAACCACAAATGTTTTTTATTAAAATAAAACACTAAACGACTAAACTAAAAAATAATGTTTTAAATAAAACCTTTACTAGAAGAACAAAATAAACAACACAACAGATAATAAAATCGATTATATACGTTGAACGCCGATCTTACGCTTATTACTAAACTTGCGCCGATTCTGTCTTGTCAGTAGTGCCAACTTAAAATTTATTGACATTTATTTATCATGGCGCCCATCATATGGGGGTCAAAATGTTTTTACGATGCGGTATCTAGACCTTCTGAGGGCTATGGGCGGACCGGATGTTATTTAACGTAACCTCTATTTCCATTTGTCATCACATTTGTCATGTAATTGTGTCAACAAGCTACGATGAGATGTTTTTATTGTAGAAAACAAAGTAAAAGAGTATAAAATAAACAATAAACGTTCATTCCTGAAGACACGATATGCTTCACGTTTCCATTTTTATATTTTCTTTCATAAAAAATCAAATCATGGGTGAATTTTCCCGAAGGACATCGCCCGCAAAAGGAATAGAAGAAGAATAAAAACTAATCAAGTTATAGGTTAGGTATGTCAAATTATCCCAAATTTCAGTTCTGTGAACCAACCATAATTTGCCCAAATCGGCCAGCATTGTTGCACTTCCGGTCTCCTTGGTGGAACGGTTTTTTAGTATGTTAAATATAGCCTATATCCTATCCAGTAAAATAATACAGATCAGTGGTTCCTGCGCATGCAGCTGACTGACGGTGACGTCACGTGGGACATAGAATTGTTAGTATTAAATGGAGATAGTGTTTCAAATTCGATATTTCGCCGGTTTGTATTTTGTGACAAAATCCATAACCTGGATAAGATAAATAAAAAATATAGACTAAAATTATAAGTTTAGAAGTATAATTTTTACTTTCTGGGCATGGTAGTTCTCTTTTCTTAGTATGCAGAAACAAATTATTTATTTATAAAAAAATAATTTAAATTTAAACATTTTTTAAGTTTACTTTGAAAATATTCAAAACCAATTTTTCTATTCATGTATCTTATTCTTATATATGTTCCTGTCCTGCTCTTGCATAGTATTTCTTGAAAAAGGACCGTTGTATTGGGACAGGAAACTACTGTTTTATCTGCTAAAATTTTAAAATACCTATTTTCTTCGCTTAATGAGGCCCCATGCACCTGGTTTTCTTCTCTTGCGTCTATGTTTACTACTTTCCTCAAAGTGGATAGGGCAACTTCATGTTAAAATAAAAAGTATTTATATATTTTTTTTATTTTAGCAACTTTTCACTGTCTCTAAACATATTACACTTGTGTATTTTACCAACCATTATTGTTCTAATTAAGTTTGTCCTTTCTTTGACAAGAATTTATCCACATTTTGTGGCATTCGAAAATATTTTACATTACACTATTTTTGGATTTCGCATTATGTTTTTTCAAGTCTCCACCGCCATTTAAATATTAATATAGTTATTCCCTATTATATATAGGAAAATATAGTCACTACTAACACAAAAACAAATAAATTACTAAATTATGTTACACTATTCAATCCAAAAATGTCAATATAACTTGAAAATTCGTCCCGAATTACGTCACTGCGCGGTTTGGACGAAATTTGAATCGAAAGTTAGCATACCGTTAGTGGTTAGTATGTGTATCGTGGGCAAACAATAAAAATATTGTGTATATTTGGCGAATTTTGAATTCAGTTCCAACTTTTAGGTTCGGTGTTGCCGTCTCTACAGATAGTTTGTGAATCCACAGACAAAGCTCATAGTAGCGTTGGAAATAGTCCGTTTTTAAAATATATTTCTTCAAAAAATTTATTCCTAATGAAAGTTGTTTTTATTACAAAACAATATCACAGAAAAATAAATAGGGTGTGCATAACATTGCTATAAAATAGGTAGTGTTACAGAATAAATACAAAATCCGAGCGAGAAATTATGAAACGAGCTTGTCGATTTTGGTCCGAAATTGTAACATAACACACTTTCTAAAAAAAATATCCTAAGTTCAGCTCCGAAAATTTTACAGTCGGATAAAATTAATAGGTACCGATTTTGCTTAAATAGTGGAGAAAAAGACATTCCTATAGCAAAAATCAAGGGCGCATGGCGTTTAATAAAATTGCACTTTTCGACAAGGCTTTGAGCTCATTATGAAAGCCAAGATTAAAACCCCATTTATAAACAAATAATTTTCTATTCTGTAATGTGCAAATAAAAAGAAAGAATGCCACCCTTGGCAACGTTGTAATTTTATGTGTTGTCATCAAAATAAGTGATCTGTCTGTGCTGTGGTTGTCAATGTCATTGCGAATCGAATCAATTAAATACATGTGTGTTTATTAGTGAATTAGGCATTCCAAACAATAAATGAAGCGCGGTTCTAAGTTTTGGTATGTCTAAAGGGTTGCGACATACGATGTAGTCTATTTACAATACCTGAAATCAAAATTAATGAATAAAATTTAAATATTTTATGTCAAATACAATGAAAATATTATTTTTATAGAAACCGTTCATGTATTTTCTATAAATTGGCAGGCTTGACGATTACTATTTCAAATAGAAATAGCGTCCAAGATGGAAGGCTATATCGCAACCCCCTTAGATTTATGAGCCCTTCCCACTGACAACTATTGTATGGAATATCTAATTGTGCGAGAATAATCACTGTGACTTTAATAAATCGACAAGGAAGTGGTTTTTATTATGGGTCGAGTACAAATAACAAAACAGCAAAAAATTGGTTGGATTACGTCACGTTTTGTGTTGTACAAGTCTTAAACTTGTACGATTATATATGAGCGTTTAGGGGCCGAATAATTAGGTTATCATTGGACGAAGACTGTTCAATACAGTATCTCTTAAATTTCCAGAATTAAAACTAAGACAAATAATATATTGACCTACATATATTTATACGCTTTTCTATTTATGAATGTGTGAAGGCTATAGAATAAAGTGTTCATAAAAAGTAATTATAAACAAAATAAGCTCAAAAAACTAGAAACCGTGTTAAACTTATTAAAGAAAAACCGGTTATATAGAAATCTAATTTTGTCAGTCACCAACGGCCGAAAATGCTACGTCTAAATGTTCTTATCCGAGAATTGGTAGACTATGCAACCACAAATGCACAGAAATGTATTTTAGGCTGCCTAACAATATCTTTAAAGGGGGAGTATGGCGAAGACGTAAGGGACGAGGATTTCGAGGTTGTGTATGAAATTGACGGAGCTGATGGATATAGAACCCTCTTAAAATAAAAATACCAGTCTTTAATTATTATTAATAAAATATTTGTACAAACAAAATTATTATGCCATAATTTTAGGCTATTTCTATATAAAAGAAAAAACAAAACTTAAATTAAGAGGTAACAAGAAATAAACCTAAACTTGTACTTGTTGGGTATTCAATAAAAGACACTTTCATCAGATGATGAACTGTACTTATTTGAATACTAGAAAAACAGTTCACAAACAGATTTAATTGTCGAGCAAGGGTCGACGCTCTGGACGCTGTCAAAACTACATAACATGACTGTGTTTACTTATATCAATTATGTCATCAGTCATTACATGTTTACAACTTTAACTAACTACTAACTAGACTTATAAGACATAATAGTACTAATGTAAAGTATACATGGAAAATTTCCTGTCTTCCACACTTGCTCCAAAATGAAAATCGTTACTTTAAAAATGATCTGAGCAGATACATAAATCAGGGAATATTTTAAAAGGGGTTTCATTGTTCTCCTATCTTGCTGTTTAGGTAAATTCAGAACATGTTTATTTACTTTACCAAAGTGGATACAAGAATAACTGCACAGTTTAACAATAATAATAAAAAGCACGTCAGTAAAAATAACTTTAAATTAACTTTTTTTTATTAAATATTTATGAACGGCTTATGAGAATCATTTATGTAAACGCGGGGTTACCAAGTATCCAATTAAAATCCACGAAAAAGAATTGTAAAAAGTACTTTATTTCTGACAACATTTCCAAACACTTTAAAAAACACTACTTATATTAATTTATTTCCATTTTATTTATTTATCTATTCTAATTGAATTGTTGTACAACTTAATAATTAGATATTAATATTACATCATCTATAAAGTAATAAACAATGTTCTTTGGAAAACTTTTAAACATAATTAGTTTTGTTATCCGTTTTTTAAATTTTTTTGACAAATGGCGCCAGCCAGCCAAATTTAAAGATTACTATCAACTAAAAGGGATAGCTGAATAGCTAGTTGTGCTAGGTTAGCCGTGACGTCACTCGGAGGATACTTTCAACGTCATCCCATTTAAAACGTACAACGATATACCCTTTTTTTAAATTACGACTTTCATCATATTCTCCTGTTTTTTTTATTAAATTTTGCTTCTATATTTTCTAAGTTTTCTTCTTTTTTATTTTACTGTAACTCTCTCTTTTTTTCTTCCGATGGATAGTTCTATTTGAGCTTCTTTTCTCTTCTCTTATAAACGTTTAAAATCTTTTTTGAACCATTCATTTTGCTTATTTATTTTTTTTTCTTTCTATTATTTTTATTCATTATAAGACAGCTATCTTTACCGTTTTCCACCTATCATTTATATTTGCAGCTTTGTCATAGTTTCCTGATTTGACATTTATTTAGTTTTGACTCTATATTTTTATTTCCTCCTTGTTAAGTAACTATAAATTATAGTAATTTCTACTTTTTTTATTTCTTCAGTATTAATATTCTCTTCAATTAAAATCCCTAGCAAAACATTTTCCACGTCTGCTCCCTACTACATTTTTAATTAAAAAAAATTTAAGCCGTAAATAATAACAACACAAAAACTAATTCATTAACAAAATAATTATATTTTATAGATAAGCTTTAAAAATCTTCCCGAGATTAGTAGCAAAGAAAGCAACAAGTTAATCAGATTGATGTCGAAAATAATTAACAGACTACAGTGGACAACAACCTGCCAAATTTTACCCAACAAACTCAAACGTTACCTAAAAACGATTACATCTGTTAAAATTGAAGATCGCCTAACGAAAACGAAAGCGATGGAAGAAATAGAGCTAGCAGAAAACCAAAATCAAACCAGTTTTATTTTCCATTCCAACAATGGAGTAGATAACGTTGAGGAAAAAGTTAGGGTTCTTAAAAATATGCTAATAAAATACCAGCATTTACCAGAAAGTTGTAAACCTCGAGCTGAACCAGTGAAGGAGTACATTGAAAATCATTTAGATATGTTAACACATGCCATGTCCAGTAATATGGCTGGAACCCGTAAATCGGAGGGAGAAGGTAAACAGTATCCATCACTCAAAATGTATTCTAAAACATAAAAAGTAAACATTTTCGCAGTTTCTTTTCTTAGAATAGTCATTTCATTTGAACACGTTTACTCATCAATTAGTTTTTTTTTTTATTGAAATAATAATTGTTATGCAGTCGAGATCAATTTGAAAAAACGTCAACGTGTTGTCATTCGTTGTGCTGATTTGAATTTATTAATTTTGCTTTTCTAGTTTATTTATTATTCTATTTTGTATAGTTCGTTTGTGTTTAGTGGGGTCCTGTTATCATCTCACTGTTTTTTAAATTTATTTTTAATTCACATATATTTTATTACTGATACTGTGGTGAAAACCACCGGTAAGTCAATTTTACAAACGGGCGACCCAAGTGAGACGTCCCAAGAGCAGATTATGACTACAGAATCAAAACAGATATACGATTTTGATAACAAATTTACCAATCAAGATTTAGTTCCTTATATTCTTTTTGTTGAACATCTAGACAAAAATAATTGGTAGATTATTTCTCGCTCGTGTAGATCATTATTTCCTTTTCGATTCTACAATTAAAAAAGACATTTTGGACATAAAATCAGTAGGTAGAGATAGGGTTAAATTATTTTTTAATACTTACTCAATTACAAATTCTCTTATTAACCATGATTGTATTAAACGTAACAATCTCATCGCTTATCTCCCAAAATTTTTTACTTATTAAAATGGTGTTATTCGTACATTTTTTGACGAAGTTTATCTTAATTCATTTATTGAATCTAATAAGGAAGTCTTTAACGTGCAGAGAATGAAAAGGAAAATCATAGATTCAGATGGTAATGTACAATATGTTCGTTGTCAAATGGAAATTGTGACCTTCTTAGGCAACTCAATTCCCCAGTCGGTCAAAATAAATGTATCACACTGCCCTATCGAAAAATATATTCATCCAGTAATCCAATGTATACGTTATTTGAAATACGGACATACATCCAAATTATGCAAGGCTAAAGAAGCTAGATGCAAAATTTGCACATCGGTTCATGAGGAAAATATTACCTGTAATGCAAATAATATTTTCTGCTTATATTGCAAAGTCAATAGTCATTCCTCCTTGTTCAAAGATAGGCCTTATTACATGCAAGAGAGAAAAATTTAAAGACATGGCAAATAACAACATATCATTCAAAAATGCTGAAACTTCAGTCAATCCCTCTTATTCAAAAGTAGTTACTAATAATAGATTTGACGTATTGAACGATTTAAAACAATTTCCTCCTTTACCATCTTCTTTGTTTCCCAATTTCCCATCTACCAATTCTTCTTTTAGAAAACCGAAATCTAATAATGCATCCCAAAAAAACGGACAGCATCTCCTCCGCGTTCTCTTTTACCCCGTTACCGGGAAAGAAAAACTCATGAAAGTCATCCTATAATTCCTAATTCGCATAGGGAGGATTTTATGAAATACAAAGAATCGCTCATTGACGGCATTTCCAAATTTGTAAAAAATGTATTTTATTATATCCTTCTTCATCCAAAATTAATTATAATCAAAATATAATTTCTAACCTTAATTCTGATATTAGAATATTTATTTCAAAACAAAACAGAACTAATAAAATTAATAGCGACGGTGAATCGTCTTTCTAACGAAAATGCACTTACAATCATACAATGGAACTCAAGATCTTTAAATTAATATAAATCTAATCTTCTTAAATTAATTAAAACAAAAAATGTAGATATTATCATAATAATTATCTGATACTTCTTTTGAAAATTGCCGAAACAATTCTAATAGCAAATATTCATTAATTTCAAAAAATCGAGCAGATGGGTATGGTGGCGTAGCTATATTTGTTTCCAATAATAAAACATTTAAGCAATTACAAATAAATCAAAATTACAATAATAAAATTGAAGCATGTGCTATTCAACTGGAAAAATCTAAAATCTCCATAGTATCACTATACAATAATTCAAAAAATAACCTCTTGTCTCAATTCACCTCACCGGTATTAATCTGTGGAGATATTAATTGTCACCATTCCTTGTTGAGTAGTATTAGTAATGATCGAAGTGGTTTAGGTCTAGTTGAAGCTCTAAATCACCTAAATTTAATTGTTTTAAATGATGGCTCTCCCACTCGAATTTCTGCCTTGAACATACCTCCTTCTTTCGACCTTGCGTTATCCTCGCCAATATTAGCACCTAAATATTTTTTATAAAAATATGCAGGCCAAAATTATGCTGATATTCAAACAAAAAGCACAGAACAACTGGAAAAAATGTGTTAGTAATCTAAACAAAAATTCTTCAATATCTTCAGTATGGAGATATATTAAAAGTATTTTAAACAAAAATAAATATAATAACATAACTGTTCTGGCTCCAGATCTAATAGAAAAATTATTTCACCATATTACTCTTCCATTTGTTGATCCAAGTTTTATTCCTCAGGTGGTAAACAATAGGGAATTGGGAAATAAAAATAACCTTTATTTAAAAATAACTTTAACTGAACTTTCTAATTCTTTGATTAGATTTTTACCAGATAATTCAAAAAGTGTCTTAGTTAAAATTTCTAATCAATGGTGGTTACAAGAAATTCTTCCTGAATCTTTTAAGAAAGTGGTAATTATATTCATTCTTAAACATATGCTAAAACTTTTGAGAGAATTATTGAACGTCGTTTAGAATGGTATTTTGAAGATTACCTAGTTCCCAGTACGGATTCCGTAAGTCTAAAAGTACTTTAGACGCCTGTACTCAGTTAATGACATTCACTATTCATTCTCAAAAAATGAATGCACAGCATGTATTTTTTTTAGATCTAAAAGGGGCATATGACGCAGTTGATTTGAACATCTTGCAAACAAATCTCCCCTATTACGGTTTTGATACAACAGGCTATTGCCAATAATATTGAGTTATTTAGAACCAGGAAAGTATATATCAGAGATCACTATAACCTTCTGCATGGCCCTAGAATAATTGTCAACCAGGTTATTCCTCAATGATCCGTTCTGAGTCCCTCTCTTTTAAATATTTACACGGCAAGCTTGCATAAGATCTTCGATCAACCGATTAAGTATATTCAGTATGCGGATGATGTATGTCTTATCATGATTGTGTTGTTGATCTTAAATATGTCATATATTGCCTTACAAGCTGGTTATTTGATCATGGTTTCTACCTGGCTCCAAATAAATCAGCTGTGATGGTTTATACACATCACAGGCTAATAACAGGAGAAGTCATTAAGTTTAATTCAATATCTCTTCCAATAGTAAGTTCCTTCAAATACTTATGAATTGTCTTAGACAATAAGCTTACATGGAAAAAGCATATTGATTATACTTTATCCAAATGTGAAAGAGGCATTAATATTCTTAAATGTATGTGTCACAAAATTTAAATGGGATGCTGATACAACATTGTTAATGTTTAATAGATGTTACACCCGATCAATCATCGACTATGGGTGCATATTATATGGATCAGCTGCGAACTCAAGCCTTAAGTTATTAGATTGTATGCAAGTTAAAGTAGTCAAAATATGTCTCGGTGCTTTTAAATCTTCCCTCACTCCAGCGGTTCTTGCGGAAGGACAAGAGCCTCCTCTTCACTTACAAAGACATTTTCTAGCAAGTTAGTTACATTTAAAATGTTTTCGGGAAAAATACTGAATTCTTCCTTTATCCTGAATATTGAAAATCTAACCAACAAATAAGGAAATTTAAAAAACAGTCAGACTTTAGCTGAAGCCTGTGTATCTTTAAAACCAGTTCATAAATAAAATTGAGCCTTACGATATTCTTTCTACATACCAGTTTAATTTTTTCTCCTTATTGTCCAAGCTAACAATCTTATTCTCTGAGTTCACTTCTTCCCCTAAAATTAATAATATAATCATAAAATCGGAAGGGGCAACGCTAGATACAGTTAATACTATTTTTTGCGACGGATCTAAAGGAAAACAAGGTACAGGATGCGCTTTTTATGTGGAAAATGAAAACTTTATATCCCAATTTCGTTTACCAAATCATTCATCTGTTTATACAGTGGAGGCTTTTGCAATTTTACAAGCACTCAGTTGGATAATAAACTATGAAGAAAGCAAATCCGTTATTCTTTCAGACTCAACATCTGTTTTACTTTTAATTTCTAACTATTCCTGCAATATTAACAAAAATCATATTATAAAAAAAATTATTCAGTCTCTCCTTTCTCTTCATAATTCTAATTTCAAGATCGTTTTCATATGGGTTAAAAGTCATTAAGGGATAGTTAGAAACGAAAAAGTCGATTTAGCTGCTAAAGAATCCATTTTTCTTCCAATTATTAGTAATATTCATTCTCCGCAGGATATTATTCATGCAATAAAACGAATTTTTAGATCAAGCTTGGAGAAACTTTGGGAACACTTTGTTGTTCATTCAAATAACCCATATTTATTTATTCACCCTGTTCTTCCAAAATATGTTCCCCATATTACAAATTTTAAAATGTCTAGGTATTATTGTACGACTTTAACAAGGATCAAACTAAATCATGGGGGTTTTCCGTCACACCTATTCAGAATTGGTATTAATATATCACATTTCTGTCAATACGACAATTCTTCTTTTGCTGATATTAACCACCTCATTTTTTCTTGTAGCCACCATAATTCTCATCCTTCAGACTTTCTCAAAAAACTTCCTTCCCTTAATATTCTTTTCCATCAAGTATTTCTATTTTATTAGGTTCATTTGATAAGAAAATATTAAACTTAATATTGAATTTTTTATTAAAGAAAATATTAAAATATAAATAGTTATTCGGTTTACAAAAGTCTGTGGCAAAAAAAACTACGTTTAGATGCCAATTTTCAAAAAAAAAAAAAAAATAGTAATTGTTGACTTTTATAAATCTAGTTATCTTTCAACAGCACCTAAGGAACCAGCTGGTGAAGTTCCCCATCATGAAGCAGCCAAGAGAAACGAAAAAGACGAGGACACTGATTTGATCGAACACGAACTGGAGAGTTTGGGTTTAGGAAAACACCCCAATTTCAGACCCAACTTCGATTTAGAAACACTTTTACGTAGTCCTGATAGATCCGGCGATCAAGCGGGAGAGGAAGGTAAATACGTGTAAGCGTTGACATTTTTATATTTTGTGTTTCGAGTTATGAGTCAGATAATATATTTTAATAGTACATAAATATCTATTGAAAATATGAAGATTTTGAATTCAAAATTTTAAAACATTGAGACTCTGTCCGATTTTGTATCTGCCTTTTGGTAATCTAAGATACATTTAGATCTATACGTCTATACACAAAGAATAAGGTATTGATTGATTTAGTAAGTTAAAAAATTAAAATTGTGTTTTGTCATTAGTGACAAACAATCATTTATTGCTAAAGGCTGCCGAATTCGCATTTGAATATGCAGGGTGTCCCGAAATTAGACATTCATATTTTAACAGCGTAATCTACAATCTAAAATAGGAGTAAAAGTTTATATAAACATAGGTCCGAATACGTTTCTTTTCCGAGATACAGGGTGTTGAAAGTGAAGTCCTGATGACACTCTTCTGTAAATATTTTCTAAACGTTTAAAGATAACTTAGTGAAATTTGGTACAAATGCTAACCTTTTTACGCTCTATTTATTGGACTAAACCCCAGTTTTTGATCAACTTCATAGGTGGGTAAATTAAGGGGAGCTTAGGGTAAAATTGCCCTAAGTTTTTTTTTGTTGAGAGTTTTTATCGTTTTTGACTATAAAATTTGGAAAACCAATTTTTTCTTTATAATAAAGCTACTTTTGTTACATTTTAAGGTGAAGGGTGAGAAAAAGTCCTTTATATCTCACAAGAAAAGTCAATGTTTAATTGTTTAACAAAACATTGAGTGCGACCGGTTTCGAAGTGTCATCACTTCATCTTCAGGCTCGCCTAGTGGAAAGGAGAATATGTGGTATAAGGTGTGTTAACTTGGAAACAAAACGATATATAAAATAATAAAAAAGAGAAAACTCACCATACTCTCCATCCACTAGGGAATACTACAAAAACAAGTTTCATCAATTTTTGGGTTGAAATAAATTGTAAAATGAACCGATTTACACGTAATAAAAAGTTAAAAATATTTGAAAAAACAAATATTAGTCAATTATAGTAAAAATTTAAAATATTCAAGACTATACAAAAACAAAACACATACATTAAACAGATTAAAAGATAAGGCCTATTTTAAACATTGTTGTTTTTTAAAAAAACTAACATTTTTTGAAAGGAGACCTGTCAAGTTAAGGCCTCTACAGGTGGTGGTAAGTATTATAACGAAAAAATTCTTGGGTAAACTTATGACAGGGTATAGTTAATAAGATGTAAACTATGAGTAAAGAATTATTTATTATCTATTATATAAGATTTGGGCCATGAACCAATCACCAAGTGTATGTGATGTTGTAGGAAGAAGAAAGAAGAAGAAATGACTGGGTTAACTGTTGTGAAGCAACTGAAGAATAAAAGAAGAAAATGACGCATGTGGATATCAGACAATATAACCTAATCTTTACACGTGCTCGTTGGTTTCTTATGGGAAAAAATATAAAAAAATTACTTACTGAAATGTACCCCTTGCAAGAAGATATGTGAATAGAAATAAAGGGGGGAGGATAAAAAGGAAGTTAGAACGATAAATTTAGATTAGTGTTGAGAAAATAGGAGGAGTTTCTGACAATATCTGGGCATTTAAGCAACCAACAGGATTTAATTTTAAATGTCTCAATATCTCGAGGTTTTCGAAGCTATTAAGAGTAAATATATTGTAGGAACTATGAAGGATTTCGAAACCTTCAGTTGAATCGAAGTCGTGATTTGAGTCCAGTAGGTGGTTGGCAAAATGTGAAAAACCTGTTGTATTTTGGTTAAGACAACGTAAATGTTCTTTTAAACGGATCTTGAAATTTCGAAATGTGCGTCCCACATAGAAAGAATGGCAAGATTTACAAGTTAATTTATAAATTCCAGATAAGTCAAAGGGATCTAATTTATCTTTATTATGAACAAATAACTTATGTAATGAAGAGGGGGTTTTGAAAGATACTTTAAAGTGGTCTTTGAGTAAGCTAGCCACTTTATAGGATGCTTTTCCAATAAAGGTAAGAGAAATGTATTTCTTACATCTCGCTAGGACGCACCATTTTCAAGAGAGAAGCATTTGAAAATTTCGTGATAAGTTGATGTTATCTTATTCGAAAGTGTAAACAATAATTAGTAGGCCTGTGAAATCAGAAATTGATTTTTTTTTAATTTGGAATACGGGTGACTAAAGAAATTTTGGAAAATATTTACAAAAATGTACCATCAGGACTTCACTTGTAACACCCTGTATCTCGAAAACGAAACGTTTTCGGACCTATGTTTATATGAACTTTCATTCCTATTTTAGGATGTAGATTACGTTGTTAAAATATGATTGTCTAATTTCGGGACACCCAGTATAGATGTTTCAACATTGCCTTTATACCTATACACAAAAACAAAATCATGGCTAAAGTAAAATTATTAACTTCAGCGGAATCCTCAAAATAATGAACTGACGTTGTTTTACAGAATTGATAATAATTATGTAATAATAAAAGGCCATTTTCGTCAAGGATGGGCGTCGCGACCATGGAAGTACTAGGGAGAGGAGTCGTTACTCGAGTACTGAAAAGGTATCAGCTGCGCCATATTGTCACTTGTGACATTTACTTCTAACTTTTGTAGATGTTTTATTTTTCTGTATTTATACGCTAGATCAGTGATGATGTTATTATGGTTCCGCCAAAGAATACCTACCCAAGAAGCGAAACTAAATGGGCGATTTGTGGACAAAAAATTGCCAAGTTTTCTCAGTGTTTAAGAGGTGGTTTAACGTCAAATGAAGCTGTCATTTATGAAGAGCAACGTTTGGATATTATTATTAGCGTTTCGTGAAAATTGCAGTATAGTTAAGTAGTTGTATTTAACTAAGTAGTAATAAAAAATTTATATTACATGAAAAAAATACATTGCGTTATTCGTAAATTTTATTGAACGTTCATTCATCTGGCTGTCAATGTTTTTTTTTTAATTTCTAAATAAGTATTACCTGTAATGATAATTGACGCTTACGTATTATTCATCGTTTAATTTCTTAGCCTTTTATTTAATAATGTTATTTTTTTGTTTTTCAAACTATTCCAATTAAAACAGTAAATAAACAATAATACAAAACGATATTTAAAATATATGAAAACCTCACTTCGAGGAACCAAGTCACTGCTATCAGGATACAATCGAAATGCATTTACAGATATCTACACTACTTCTGAATATGTAACATGTAGAGGGTGGGTTACCCCACGGCACTTAGGCCTCACTAGGTCCATTGTGTATCCACCTAAAATGATAGGCACCTCCTAGCTCGTGAGCCAGCATACATATTTAATGTATGCCAAGAGGTGCTTCTCTTATATCGGCCGATGCGATAGCCAATACACGCCGAAAACAAATCTTCTAATAAATAAGAGCGACTGGCAATCGTAGAGGATATGTTCAATGGTCTTATCTTTTTGTTCGCACCCCCTGATGGGTGCGGATTCTGACAGCCCCATGATATCGAGATGCTTCCGTACTTGGCAATGACCAGTCAGAATGCCTGTAATCAGACGCAGATTCTGTTTAGTCGTAGTCAAGTATTTGTTTTTTGTAGTGTTGTCACGATAACTTAAAAGCTCCCTGGTAGCAGTTTCTTATTTCATCCCATCTTTCCTTTAATTTCACAAGGGAATATTGTTTAATTAGGTCTGTCACTACCGATGTTGTCAGTTTAATAGAAGGGCCAGGTCCAAAAAGTATTTGGTTGGCCGCCTTCTTGGATAATGAATCAGCAATAAGGCTACCTTTAGATGTGGCAGAAACCTTTGATCCATCCATCTTAAGGTGACCATATTGTTGGATGGATACTCTTGCCAAAGCTTCGTGGCATTCTAGTACTAACCCTGAGTAAATTCGTAGCCTGTTCAGGGTAAGTAGTGTTTATCTGCTCTCTGTATAGATGAACATGTTCCTACCAGTGATATTGTTTCTAATTATTTCTTTTGCTGCTATGAGAACCTCCGTGATCTCCGTGAACTACATTGGCACTATTGCTCACAGCCCATTTTATGTTGAGATTTAAGGAATTTGAGTATATTCCACATCTTGAGCATTGTTTTGTTGTAGAACCGTCGGTGTAGTATGAATCGTACCTGCCACTTCCGGATCTTCTATTTGTTTTGTTATAACTTCATACGGCGTATGGAAGATATATCTCGGTGAGATGAAGTTCATGTTCGCTTGAAGCAGTGGGAGCGTATCGAGCGCCTCCTGCCAAAAGCCACGTCTCGCCTCTCCAGATCCTATATCAGGTTCTATTCCAACCGTACGGAGGCGTGTCATTGTCGTCAGAAAATATCAAGGGAGTGAGACTAAGAATGACTTTTATGGCTCTAGTCGGTGTTGTTTTCATGGCTCCTGTTATGATGAGACATGCTGTTATTTGAATTAGTTCTATTTTGCGGATAGCTGTCAATTTTTGGATTTTAGGTACCCAGACACCTGCACCGTATATTAGCATAGGTCATGGCCATGTAAGTCCATGTGACGACTCTGGGGGAGAAACCCCAGGTGCGCCCTACGGTTCGGTAGAATTGTTTATAAGTAATGTATGCTCTTTTGAAGTGTGAGTTAACTTGTTGTCAAAGGTGCTACCTAGGTACTTCATCTCTGTTACAAAGTTGTGTTTCGTGTTTTGGAGCTCTGTAGGTTTTAATTTCATTTTTATCCTTTTCTTTGTGAAAAGGATTATTTCTGTCTTCTTGGGATTGATAAGACAGTGAATGGTACTTGCACCACACTGTTCCATAATTTTTCTTAAAATTCCCTATTTGCAGAATGATCAAGTCATTTGCTTTCAGTATTGTTTATTGTACCTACTGAATTATTTCGTTATTAAAATAATCTATTTGACATAAGGTTTGTTCCAACACGCGCAAAAACCGTAATATTATCGTACAAATCGTGCGCTCTACCCAAAAATTGTATAGAGCGCATGATTTGTACGGTAATATTACAGTTTTCGCACGTGTTGGAACAGACCTAATATGAACATAGTAAGAATGTTGTTATCTGTCATTGTTACTTTAGTATGTGTTTAATTTTAATTAACCAAACGACAAAAATTGGTTAATTTTCATACGTTTCCCAGCGTATTAAGTTCCCTTGCTTTGGTACATACGAAAACTCATTCAGTTTCGCTTCTTGGGTAGGTATTCTTTGGTTCCGCTGACAATTAAAGTGACAGTATTTGGAAATGGTTTTATTTTAGTCTTATAATATTTAGAATGTATGCTTTATGGCTTTATTAATACATTTTTGGGTGCCTGTAAACGTAACGGGCACGAATTTCGAAAAAATAATTTTAATTTGAAAATAGTATTAAGTGTATTGTATATATAAAACAACAAAAAAAAATTTACGGTTTACGCATAAATAACAGAGAAATTCGAGTTAAAACTTGCGAATTTTGGTGATTCTAACCTAAGATTTTTCGATTTTCGTGTAAAACATAAGCAAGCTTGCCAAACATTTTAATTTATAACAAAATCTAGATTAATAATTGACAGAGTTGATCAGGCACTTTTATGAATCGAATACATAATACATATTAAAACAATGCTCATATCACACATGAATATAATTTTCTTAATAATCCAATTTTGTTTATACTTACATTTTAGGCATTAGGAAAAATAGTACTTTTCAAATATACCATTGGAAACCCCTCAAAGTATCTTATTTTTGGCGTAACATTTCCAAATACTTTAAAAAGCACTACTTTTATTAAGTTATTTCGTTGCTTTTCCTAAAAAACTTTTAATTTCCAGTCACATCCAGCGATTTTTTTATCCATTTTGGTTAAATTGTACATATTAACTAAATATTAATATTACTCCATCTATAAAGTAATGAACAATCATTATTTTGGGTTATCCAAAAGTTTTTAAACTTTTAAACAAAATAATTAATTAGTCTAACAAATGAATTGTCAACCAAAGTCAATGACTATATCAACTAAAGAAGATAGCCGAATTCATTCAATTTCTACTGAGTCCGGCGCGGCGTGACGTTAACCCTGAAAACTTTCAGCCGTCCCATTTTAAACGTACATCAATACACCTTATTTTTAAATCACGTTTTATTTTTAAACTAAAAGATATTTCAGATATTCAAAAGATCATTTTACCAGAGAGAAAATTTAACTCATCTGAAAATTATAGAAGTAAAAAAAATATATAAATAGAAGGTAATAAATTTAAATATGAGTATACTATGGCCATGTTTTCTAAACATATTTTTAATGAACTCATATTTAAGACATTTCATATACAGAGTGAATAAAAAGTAACTTAACTTATTATGTAGATTCCTAATAAGTTTACAAAAAAAGTTTTGATGAAAGTTTCATGAAATAGATCAAGTTAAATCAAGGTGATAAGAAATACACCTTCGTGCTTAATAAGAAATATACTGGGTTGACTAGTATTCATAAATTACAAAAAAAATATATTTTTTAAATAGTTTTTGGTCATAAATTAAATTTAAAATAGAACCGTTAAAATTACATTGTACTAACTTTATTAGCCATTAGCCATCCATTCGTTATTTTTGAGTAATGGTGCACCCAATATATTTCTAACTGACTTGCATTGATGACTTGATTTATTTCATAAACAAAATATAAACATTTCCTGACATACCTACACCATGAAAGCACGTTCGTCCTACCACGTCTCAACTACCTTAGAAGCTAGCACGCTTAGACGATGTTTTGAAATTAGTGCGATTTTTACACTTTTTACTTTTTACACCATAACAGCCAGCTATGCTCGTTCCAACGGCCTTACCCCTAGAGACAGGAGCGAGCGAAGTGAGTGCGAAGTGTTTACATCTACACTATAAGAGCCAGCTGTGCGTGTACTACCAACAGGCTTACCACTATATGAAAGAGCTAGCGAAGCTAGGGTACCCTTTTCACACTTTTACCATAATAATCAGCTACGCTTGTCCCAACAACGGTCTTATCACTGGAGGAAGGGAGAAAGCGCACGGCTGACGTTTCGAAATTCGCGCGCACGAATTTTGAAACGTCAGCCGTGCGCATCCTATTTACACCAACACCATAAGAGTCAGCTACGCTCGTCCCACTAACGGTCTTATTACTAGAGGTAGGAGCGACCAAAGCGAGCGCGCCCGGCCGACGTTTCGAAATTGCAATTTGCGCGCGCTAATTTCGAAACGTCGGCCGAGTGCGCCCTTTTTACACACACACCAAAAGAGTCAGCTACTCTCGTCGCAACTACGGCCTAACTAATAAAGAAAGGAGCGAGCGAAGCGAGCGCGCCCGGCCGATGTTTCAAAATTCGCGCGCGCGAATTTCAAAACAAACAAAATGCCACATTTCTTATAAAATACCTAATATCCAATTTAACATAACAAGTTTTGAAATTTATTGAAAATTATTACATCTAATTTAGTGAAATTATATACAATTTAGTTAAAATTGATATAACTAATGTTTTAAAAAGTTTTGGGTTCAGTTGCAATAAAATAGGTTGAATTATTTTAGCATTTTTAATATACGTAAATAATTTTATAAACAAAACAAGAATAATGAAATAGGCATGTGACAACAGCGGATATTATACCCTCCTGTGTCCCTTAGAATATGTCTTATTCAGGACCGCACGATATTTGTTTGTAAAGGGTGGGCCATTTATATGTTGAATTAATTTTTTTTCGACAAATTTAACTTTATTTAATACAATATTTCTTCCGATTAAGTAAGGAAAATTATTTCATTTAAGTGGCCACTTAAATGAAATAATTTTCCGACTGGCTTGGCAGTAGCCCATCATGGATCACCAATTTTCAAGCCTTTTTTCAACAATTTGCTGCTCTATTTGAGCAATTTGAGCTTAAATGTTCTGTTTTAAGTGCTCAATTGTTTGAGGATTATCAGAATCAACTTTATCCTTCAAAAAAAGAAATCGAGTGATTTAAAACGCAGCTCCGAAGTGGCCAATTAACATCTCCAAAACGGCTATTTACACGATTATTAAATTTTGTGCGCACAAGATTGATGGTGGCCGCGGAGGTATGGCAAGTTGCGCCGTTTGTTATCATATCTCGATAGAGGTCGCCATTGATCGTAACGGCGCGGCCAGTCTCATTTTCAAAGAAAAAGGGTCCAATCACGCCGTAACTCCAAAATCCACACCACATAGTGACTCGATCTGGATGAATGGGCTTTGTTACGATGACGTGTGGATTTTCCGTGCCCCAAATGCTTGAGTTTTGTTTAACATAACCTCCGAAGAGATAATGCGTCACATCTAAAAAGATGATTTTTCTTGCAAAATCAGGGTCATCGTTCAACTGGTTTAGAGCCCACTCAGCGAAGCGAAAACGGTGTGGATAGTCAACTTGCTTCAACTCCTGAACGAGCTGGACTTTGTACGCAAACATACCGAAGACTTTGTGTAGAATGCTCCTCAGAGTAGTACGGTAAAGGCCAAGATATTGACTTCTGCGCCGAGTTGATGTTGACGCGTTAAGGCACACACTTTCGGCTACAGCAGCGATTACTTCAGGTGTGCGCCTAGGATGAGCATGCGGATCATGTTTTACGTCTACCAGCATTCCAGTTTTTTGCACTTTATCAATAAAATTCTTAATTCCTTGGGTTGAAGGCGCCTCATTTCTTCCAAACTCTGTACGCAATTTTCGCGCCGTCTCGGCAACCACAGAGTCACACTTAAAATAAGTTTTGAGTATTTCAAAATGTTGATCTAGACTAAAGCGATGCATATTCGGTTAGCGGAAGGAAAAAACTAAATTACTGTCAACAGTTAATGACAGTCAAATTGTCAACTTCATTAATAACACGCAGTTTAAAATTCAACGTATTCATGGCCCATCCGTTAGTTTCATCTCCTCTTATTATCTCTGGTCGTAGCGTAAGGCGATGAGATCATCTTACTAATTTTCAACCTAACCTACTGTTGGAGATATAAGAATAATATATTTACAGAATGGTAGGTATCGTTATACTACATATTTTAAAATCATTTTTAATAACTATAATCTGGAAAAAACTTATGTTTTTTTAAACGGATCACCCTGTATATTTTTTATTTTCTAGTTTTTACAAGATTAATTATACAGGTTATCCAATTTTATTGGAAAATCGTATTATTTAATGTATTCTGCAAAACTTTGACTAGCACAATCAAATTTTATTAGGTTCATAACTTTTAATGGACGTTCTTACAATCGGCTTTTAGACAGTCGCCATCTTTCTGATTAGGCAATTATCTGCATAGTCACTGTTGATACATTAAACACCTATTTTTTCATTTTAAAATTGCTGGGTATTTGTTAACAATTTTTAAATACATTGAATTAGATTTATGGTTAGTTTTTCAGTAATTTTAACTCTCCTGTCAATATAATTGTTATCTTTTCGCTGCTGTTACTTTGTATCTTCTTTTTAGGAATTTACCACTAAAAAATCTCAAAATTATGACTATTAATTTTCATTTATATTATTTAGTTTCTTTAAGAGTTCTAAATTACTAATCAAAAAGTCGACTTAATCCTCTACATCTGACTACATAACTCGAAATCCATCATGTAATTTAACTTTGTAATTATTGCAGATAAAAACCTATTATCGAAAAAGACAAACAAAAGATCTGCCGTAAGTAGAGAAACATCAGATCAATACGATCGGCTATTAGAAGCAGTTAAAAAGGAACGAATAAAAAGGGAAGGGCGAAAAAAAATAGCAGCAGCTTTTGGCAAACTCAGCATTGACGATTACAAAGGTACAAATTCAAATAATGCCATTAACGAAGTATTTGAAAACCCCTTAGTTTATTCGTTTTAATTTAAATAGTATGGAATTATTGTTACAAATAATTATGTTTTATTGTATATTTTTATTTTATCTTACATAATATTAAAGTTGTGTTAAATTTCAAATTTTGCTTATTTTAACATATACTTATAATCTGCTGTATTTTATGCGACCACCATACTTTTCTACCGTCGCGAACTCGACGCAAATTTTGAAATGATTTAAACCTGAGAAATATTCATAAATCATAAATCTGAGTAAACGTATCTTTTTACTATGTAGAAAAGTCAGCTGAAGAAAGTTTATAGTGTAAATAAAATTGTTAATTGGAAGACATTTAATTTCATTACAATCTAACAATAATCTACATTACTATTCTGCACTGCACCTAGCTGATGGGAAGGAACCCTTTCTTCTTGGAACGGCGATTGGGAAGATAGTTAAAGTTGCAGAGAACAAAATGTAATGTGCATGTTCAAAACCAGATATAACACATTTTAAGTATTTGGAAGTAAAAATATAACATATTATATTCCTTACTTATTTTCATCCCACCTTTTCTTGTGAGAAAAGAAAAGTTAACAGTTCGCCAGAGATGCTAACATATAGTATTGTTATAAAATAAATAAGTGTTTAAAATAAACATTACATTGATGTCGAGAAGTGAAATATTGTAAATAAATAGTGGACAATAATGGCTACAAAAACTGTGTGATTTAAAAGTATCTGAGCTGCGTCGAGAACTAGAAGATCGTGATCTGGAGACGACAGGGAAGAAAGCAGAGCTGGCAGAACGTCTTAAGGAAGCACTAGAAAGTGAGAGTTTGGATCCGGAAACGTACCTATCTATTTTCGGATGATGCATCTTCTACAATAATTTATTCAATTTCTTCCGTAGAAAGTGAGATTTTTTCCTTAAAAATCAATATATCTTCTGATATGACCTCTATGAAAACCGATATTTCTTCTAACATTTCCTCATTAGAAACTAAAGTTTCTTCAGACATTACTTCCTTGGATAGTAAAGTTTCTTCCTTAAGGTGTCTTCTGACATATCTTCTTTAAAAACCGATATTTCTTCCGACATGGAAAGCAAAATGTCTACTAAGGAAAATAAATTTTTATCTAATACATGTTCTTTAGAACAAAAAGTGTCTTCCGAAATGTCTTTCATAAAAAACGAAATTTTTTCTAAAGAAGATAAGATTTCTTCCGTTGATAATAAAATAAGTCTTCCGTTGAGGAGAAAATAAAAGAGATGGAAGAGAAGATAGAAGAACTGGAACATACAGAACCGTCCAAGGACGGTGAAATAAAGTGCCATGAGGTGGAGTCGAAGTTGATATTGGAAGGAGCTGTAAATTCTGCTCGTGTTAAAGCCCCAACTTTTGAATCTCTGAATCAATTAGAGAAAAAGAAAATAAAGGAATTTCTTTGACGATATCGTGACATTTTTGTATCAAAAGGAGGAAAAACAGGATGAACTTCTGTCGCAAAACACAAAATTGACACTGTTGATGCCAGGCCGATTCGTCAATCAGCTCGAAGATTACCAAAGACCAAGAGAGAGAGCTGAAAGAATTGTTCAGGAAATGAAGGAAGATAGGGTGATAGAACCTTCTACCAGCCCATGGGTCTCTCCGGTAGTCCTGGTCCAAAAAAAGGATGAAACTACGAGGTTCTGTGTGGATTACCACCAGTTAAACAATGTTACCAAGAAAGACAGTTACCCTGTGCCTCGTATCGACGATACCTTGGACACATTGGCTGGAAGTAAACTATTCTCTAACTTAGACTTGAAGTCTGGATACTGGAAATGAATCCAGTAGACAAAGAAAAGACAGCTTTTACCACCGGATCTGGATTGTGGCAATTTAATGTAATGCCATTTGGATTCCAGAAGTTACCTCATTTTTTAAATTACACCGAAAAAACATTTTTGGGATAATGACCCCAATTGATTATCACGAAATTCCAAAATTTTATTTTCTTTTTTTTTTAATAAATTACTCCTTTTCCGAAGTTATTTCATTTTTTACCTCTTTTTTACGAAACTCGCCCTTTTTCTTAATTATTTCTATTTACTCCAAAGCAGGGGCGGTTTCTCCATTGGTTCATTTGTGCAGTGAACACCCAGTTAAATTTCATAAAAACACTTATTTTAAAATTACATAAATAACAAAAATATAAATTTAATTTTAATATTTTTATTTTCATACGTGTTAAACTATATTTTTTGGTACATTATTGCCCTCTGGCTGATCGCGTCTCTGTGACATAGAATACCTAAGTATACTGTGTCTGTGGCGCGTTATGATGAGTGAGCCTAACACGAGTGAGACGATTTGATGAATGCATAAAGTTAAAAAGAGAAAACAACACGCCAACATATCCTTCAAACGTCAAAAGAACTCATTAATTGGCGCGCCACTCACAAACAAGGTTGCCAAACCAGTGTTTCCAGTCTAGTACAATATACAATTGTACTAGATGTAGTACATTTTGCTTGAGGCAGTGTTTACGTGTTAAATATATAATATATATAAATATATTGTGTTCCTTGTTTGGGTTCGTTATCTATGAAAACCCCCTTTTTCCTCTTCAATAAATTAGATGTCACTGCAAAAACATATTCTGGCAACACTGTACCAAATCAAACAAACTGTCATTCCGTCTACCTGGGGATCGGTTATATCGTGCGAATTTAGAGATGAGTAGTAATCCGTAAATGTACCTACTTAACACTTACAGATTTGCTAATATCCATCTCTAAATTCAAGTGTGACACCGGAACCACTTGGAACTTTAGAGGCGTTGTAACCGAACTTTGATTTTAGTTCAAGGACGTTTTACCCAACTCCGACTCAGCTAAGGGCCCTATTCAGTAATTTATCGTTTATGAACGACATCGTTAAGCTAACGACAGTTCAACCAACGACTTTTATAACGATAATTTTTGAAACTCTATTCAATAACAAAGTCGTTACGTTGTTTCTAGTTACCAAATCTGAACGATGATTTCTAGTAAGTTGGTATTATAATTTAGTGTTTTGTGATAAAAGAACGTATGTTGATGATTATACCGGGTGTTTAAATTAAAGTTTTACAGTTAAATATCGACAAAAATATGAATTTTATAAAAAAAAAAGTATTAGACAAAAGTTTTATAGTTTTTTAGGGGAAACATTTTGGCCAAATTATTTTTTTTATAGCTGACCATAATATGGCCATATCGAGGTGGATTTTTTTTCAAATTGGAACCCTATTTTTTTACATAGGTATTCTTAGAGTTCATAAAAAAATAAGAAACTTCTAAGGACCGATTCCACCGTTGTGTTAAAATCGGCCCTAAAGGAAACATTTTTTTTATTGGATTTCTACTTATTGAGTAACACCTACTTGAAAATTTTGCTGCGCGAAAAAAAGTTGGCCATAATATGGTTTGCTAAAAAAAAACATTTTTAGCCAAAATGTTTTCCCCAAAAAACTATAAAACTTTATTTTTTTTTATAAAAGGCGGTATTTAACTGTAACCCTTTAATTTGAACACCCGGTATATTTGACATTTTTTTTGGAACTAGTAGATATATTCATTTGTTTTTCAGAATATATTAATTATTGTTCTTAACCTACAACACGATCACGGGGTCGATTCTCGATTCGTAGGAATTCTGTTTCTCGCGGGCCATTTTTGCTGGTCGTATTGTATGTAGGGTTTATTTAAATGAGTAGGGATATATTAAAAAAAACTGAGAACTATTCCATAAGAATACAAAAAACAACTCGAGAACAGTACAAGTTGTATTTATTGGATTTGAAAGACAAACCAAATTTGTGTAGGTTACGGAGAAGTATTATAGGTACTTCCATAATATAGGTTTTGTTACAGTTTCGCAGTGCTACTTTAGGAACATCACTGTTAATAAGAATCCAATAGTAAATGATTGAATGGGCAATCCTAACTTTGAATCAGATTAATTTTTAAAATAATTAAATAAATTAGAAAAAAATTCCTTACAAATTTTACTTGCTGTATTAGGTATATGGCAATTTAGTTGTAAAATTTGTAAAAAAGTGTTTTTATTATTTAGAACATATCCTGATTCACAATAAAAAATGAGAGGGAATGCAAAAATCACTATAACGACACTTCATATTATTAACGACAGCTCTTTGGCTATCGTTGATGAACGACAATTTTACAACCATGTTTGTCTATTTTCAACGACAATCGTTGTCTACTGAATAAGAAAAGTCGTCTGTGAACGATTATCGTCTATTAACGACGTCGTTCAGAGTTACTGAATAGGCCCCTTAGTTCTGTTTATAAATATGGACCTGAATATATTTGTATCCGTGTTTATCGATATATAAAAGAAGAAAGTGAGAATACACTCAGTGAGACGCGAGATCCCTTTACAAATTATACTTTTTATGGATTTTTGTGTTCCATGAACCGAATTTTCGTTGTTTTGAGGTTGGCTGTACTGGTCTTAGGTTCTGTGTGAATTTACTAGTGTTTATGTACGTATCGTATTTGGTGAAATTTATAAAAACAAATAGACATAATTTCGAGAATCGAGTGCTTATAAAAAAGAATGGCCCACCTCGATCGGAGATAAACATTGTTCAAGAATGTGCCATAAGAAATAGAAAGTTTAAATATACTTTTAAGATTGAACAATATAAAAAAACTTCGTGGTTGTGCGGGTGTGATAAACAACATGCTTTGTTTCGTTTTCCTTGTTTAGTTTTTGCAAACAATGAAAATACTAAATCAGAAAGGACAAAAACGGGTGTTAGGGAATTATCTCATTTATCAGCAAAAATTAAAAAACACTTTTATTATTATTATTAAACTACTGAACTACCCAATGAATCGAGCAAAAACCTGACATTGATTAAATTAGGTAAGCATGTTTTTGCATTATTTCTATAATTTAAACTTGATGTTTCTTTCTTGCACTGTATTAATCGAGGAATTAATATTTTAAAATATAACGAGCCACCACTACCTTTAATTAAAAAAA